CTGTGACTACCCTGTAAATACAGTTGTAATAATTTTCCTGTCTCTATAAAGGGCTGCGTAGAGCTATCATGCCTTTTGATATACCGTAGTGGGCGGAGCAGGAAGCCGAGTGACCGGTACCGAGTTGCGCGATCGTCCACCAAGATACAACAATCCGTCTGACGGTAACAAAACGTAGCGAAACCCCAAAAACGGCAAATGTGAGTCGACTGGACATTGCCTCGTGAACGTACCCAGTTGTAAACACCAAGAGGCCATTGAACGAAATGGGTGTTGTGCCTGTTCAGGGTGCTAGTTACTTATCGTTCTATGTGATGACACACTTTACTTTATGATGCGTAGAAATAAAATGGCGTCTCTTGTCATCCAACCAGGTCATACATCACCTCATTTACAACCGAAGGACACATCTCCAAGTTGATGAAATCATTTTCTCACAAACGTCGGTGTCACCCAGGCCACGCCCTCTAAACAGGTTACCGAATCGAGCTGATGATGGAAGTGATAGATTTTGAATCTGCCGAATTCTGTCGGATTAAAAACATAGTGGTTGCTAGTTTAGCCCATCTAAACGGTTGAAACAGAAATGCTTTTGCACTTTTTATCTGGTTTCCAAAGGATAACCTGGTCTTCTTTTTTTCTGCGGAACAGGAATATAGTTGCAATCAGTATGTGACAATCGAACTGTTTCGTAGAGCCGTTGGGTTAAATTCATGAAGGTACGATGATCATATTGACAACCGAGGAGCTAAAATCACTATTCATTACCTCTCCAAAAGTCCCCTAAGTTTAACTAGTTGAAAAATTGTCCATTAGCTAGTTCCAGAATAGTGCTCTGCAATCCTGGTTACAGAAAATACACACTTTCATTTGCATACCTAGATAGCAGTCCGAGAAAACCGGTCGTTCACCGAAGTCGAATGGTACAAACAATGTACCCGGTATTTCATGTCCCATATCTTACGGAATGGCTTCAAATACGTTTTGAAAAACTGAATGATTACTCACGTGATCAATTCGGGTGAATTGTGGATTCATTATCACTGGAGAACCGGATCAAGACAAAATTGTAGCATCAATTTTCCTCACGAACCACCAGGCGATTTGAACTGACCGCACTCACACGCACATGGCAAGATCATGTTTCACATTTTGTATGCAGCTTAAAGTCAAGTCAAAAAACCATATTACACTTTATGGTCGACAGTGAAACTCATCAAAAACTACAATTTTATTCCCAGTGTACTAGAAATATTGAAGCCCATCTATTTGATAACGAAATTTGTAAAGTAGCAGAAAACTATTTGACAGAACTAAATCGGATTAAGAGCCGAGACAATCAATAATTAGTGTGACAAGTTTTAAGAAGTTGTAGAAACTGCTCGAGGTCAATATTGGTGCAAAAAGCTTGCTGAGGTGATTCTAGACGGACTTTCAAAATGGACCTTGTTTTACGTGTGTTTGTCCATCACAGCGGGACTACTTGAAATAAGACAAATACGTGTATATTATCTGTAACGTCGTCTACAGAAGAAATAATCTAAAGACCAAGTTGTTTAGGAAATACTCATTTGTTTTTAGAAGCCCTGACATCCCTTAACAGATTCTGGTGTATATCAAACGGGCGCATTCCTCGAGGTCCTGTTGAGGGTAAATCCTGATTGAAAGTAAAATTTTACCCAATTAGCGAATGACATTTATTCATCGAGAAAATATACCCAAATGCCTCGATACTTCACCAACTGAAAAATGATGCGGCCTCCGTGCCTGAGGAATATCGTAAACGAAGTTATTGAATATAACTTGATTTCATGTAATTCCTCTATTTATTTGTTTACACCGACTATGTACTTTTGATCTACGACTCCTTCGCTTATCTGTACATGTCACTCAGCTTACCGCAAATACCATCCCGTCCGACACTTGGGTATTACCATGTCTTAGTGTGAACTTGCACAGCTGACCTAGCTACCAATGCCAGTTCGTGTCCCGTTTTCTGAGCCCGCCTGGATTTCTCATGAGTTCCGTGTGATCACTGCCAATCAGAATCACGAGACTGTCGTCGGGGGGGACGACCGCAATCCGTATCACCGAGCGAACATTCAGCTCGCCGTTTTTTGGTGTGCGGAACCTGACACCGCACCATGCAAGCAGTGACAGACCTGTGCACTCGTTGATACCACGAACATGGACAGATGAGTTTTGTTGTAAAAATGAGGAGATCGATTTCATTTGCTCTGAGCGGTTTTCTACAGGATGACAACCCTGGTTCTAAGGTCTGATATTTCTCAAATAATCAGCTCCTGAAATCTTCCCTCACTGACGCGTGAAACTGACGCTGAAATTTCTGGCTTCCTTTTCTGGTATTCGTCACGTGTATGATTTGCACAACATAACACGGGGAACCACAACACAGCTAGCCAAACCAGACTTTATATCACGCCTATCTATATGGCTTATTTCGGACACATCTTGGTTTACATCCGCCATGGCTAACAGGTGGGTAGAACTGAATCAGCTTTGTGAAGGCAGTTGCGTCTACTTCTTCTGGGTACAAAATCTGTGGGACAAGAAAGTAAATAGACAAAGCTTTAGCAAGATTGGTTAAACTTTGGAAGTTGCCAACGATGTAGGGCATCCCACACTAATTGGATATTAGATCAAAATTAGGTATACTACAGATATCCAAGGTGGTTCATTTAGATTGCTTCACCATAACTGCGTCATACATGTTTGCACAAAATCATGCGACATGCCAATAAACCACACTTTGGCTGGACTTTCAGTGAGTCAGATAACAAAAAAGAAGTGAGGAGAGCAGTGAGCAAAAGACAAAACTGTGTCCCAATTAGGCTCAGTCTAAATGATCGCTGGCTCACTGAGTTCAGAAGAAACATGTCAAGGAATGCTAATAAACTTTTGTTCATAGACGGAATATCGGTTGTTTGGAGGCAGCAAGAGATCTACATCCAAGTCTGGAGAACTACCGCTAAGTGTGAGGATGAGGGGAGAGCTAGATTGACGTCTACCCACTTCAGTTTACTTACAAATATTGTTGGACAGGATGGATTTGCGCGTAGTGTAGTTACTATTAGTGAAAGGAAGAAGGTCTTCGCTTCGGAGCTGTTTATTAGAAAATGTCGATTGAACAGTTACAGACTGTTGGACAAGGAAGCAAAACTCTCATATGCATCTTGTTTACAAAAACGAAATATCCATCTTCCCCTTCAACACGTCTTTTTGAAGTTTCCTGGATATTAATTAACTGTTGCTTAAGTCCAAGCAAATGCTACAAATTGACTCCAGAAATTCCATAATAGATCTCACTTTTCGAGAGACGCAAAACGGATTTACGGGAAGATATACTACTCACAGTGGATAGATGGAGCTTCCTAAATAGTTTTGTTGAGTTCTCTGTACTCTGAGTTATTATGAATTCTTGATACATGACATAAAATTTGCCACAACAATTCCTTGCAAAATTTATTTTCTTTCGGGTACATTTGTCGTGAATTCTCGCTTAGTCGCTAAAGTTCTGCCTGGTAGTTAATCCTTGTTTTCTACATGAGACATGAAATGGTTAGAGTATACCGGTAAGCTTAAGTAAAATGCAAGTAAACGTTGTTTAGTCTGAGGATCTCGTTAAGTGAAACAGTTCCTAATCGCCCAGCAGTCTAGACAATGATTTTAGCATTATTCTGGTGGAGATATAAACCTCGATAAAACTCGTCTTCTTTTATCTAAATTTCCTCCAATGGGCAAGAATACGGACGCTTAATATAGGGATAATGAAATCGTATCAAAAGTCAGTCGACAATCCCCACTTGATCGCAGAGATACTGGGAGTTGAGACACGCATGTTGGACGCGTTTCTGCAGGTCCCTCGCCGCAGTCATGGAAATGCAATGATGTTGGGAATGACCAAGAGCGTTATCCGGGGGCCAAAGACGGCTCCTCTGTAGATCGCCTCGGGGTTGTTGAAAGGCACACGAAGAAATATTAACTATTACGCGAAAAAAGTCATATGTATACTGGGGTTCTGGCACGCTGTCCACAAAGTTCAGTTAACAAGGCTGACGGTAACCTTTGACTTGAACATTTGTAATCAGCCATCCTGACTGAATAAAGTTTTCCTGATCCTATGCCACCTATATACTTTTTGAATTGACTGATATTATCTTCTGGTGTGCTCAAATTAAGCACATTGGAAGTTTCTATTTTATTGTTGGATATTAAGGTATCGGCAGCTCACGTCTCAATTAATTTCATCGTTGTTGTCAGTATCAGCCTAGTCGGTGGGACACTTTCACCAGGCATGCTTCTCTAATACCTTTCTCGAAGGAGGGATTTTTCAGGAACACATGCTGTATTATTACAGAAAAGATCGTAGGTATGGCCTCAAGTAGTTTATTTATCCTAAGTGGTATGAAAGCCTAATCCAAATGCGCCATGGACACAGCTATTTTGCATGGCCCTATAGTTGTTTTCCTCCTGAAGACCTACCCCACAGACAAAACGCTTTCAAACCGGTGCCTGAATTTATTATATAAATGCACTTAAGTGCTTGTGGCTTGCATTTGTCTTAAAAGGTTTCCCAGCTTCTTTCGGTGACCTGCGTAGGAGACACCGTTCATATTTGAGGTCCGAAAGTGTCCTTTCTAGATTACACACACAAGAAGCTGTACAAGTGAGGTGTCTAGGTGAGCTCTTGCATCTTCACTGGGACATATCAGAAGCACAAACATGGATACTCTTTCGGAAGGTCTGAAATCATCCCCTTGGATAGGGTCTTGGAAAACCGTCATCCAGCCACCTGCGGCCGCCCGGAAATCAGACTACATTCTACTTCAATTCAAAGTAGTGTCGTTCTTTATTTCGTTTCGTTAAATAAAGCCTTGATTTGCAGACTGTATTCCCATCCAGAGATTTTGTGTATCTTTAGAATAGAATATCAGCACTAGCGGCGTACAACTCGGAAACCAGTGGACGTATCCTTTTTAGATTTTTTAAACGTTTATTGGTTTACTGAAACGAAGATAAAGAGGAGTGCAATAGGTTTACTCTTGATGAAAATCAATATTTCGGGAGTCAATAAAGCCACGTATGAAAAATGTGAGTTAAACAACAGCTTCATCGGATTCGAAGACAATAACCACTGGAGTGTCCCGTTTCTGATGTGCATATTGATGAAGTGTACCAGTCAACCACATCGAAATAGCAGTAGTCCAACATTTCCAATATCCATATAGATAAAATCCCCCGGATCGTGGGTAATGAAGCTGAAAGATAAAAAATATGAACTTAGTCTAGGATGTATGCCCCATAACGCATAACATGCAGTTGTTGTCCTCTGAAGAGTCCCTATCAGCATACGTTTCTCCGTAGTGAGTGGCGTATGAGTCACTTGAAGAATTTGTTAGTTATTATAACCTCGTAAATATCAATATTCACATCGGACAATCTGTTGAGATGTTGCTGCCAAACTCTGATATCCTTAGACGAAACGTTTCTAATTTCTGTTTGCATTGTGAGTAAATAGGTGTACGTCTTTGTAAGAGCTGTTCTTTTCAAGGCCCTTTGCGATTGGTGTAGAAGTATATAAAACGAATGAATTTTCTACACGCGTTTTCTCTGATAAAACTTAAATCCTGGCAATTATTGTTAGCGGCTTCACGGAGCGCTGTTATTTTTCAGCTCAATGGGTCTCAGCGAGTATTAACTTGCAACCGACAGTGATAAAACCCGGGGCTTTTTATACCTTCATCTTCATACATCCGGTTCTGATAAAGACAAACCTTCTGGAAGCTAACTATGGGAGCCCAAAAACGGGTCGTACCATCTCCATACCAGCACTGCAGTTAATTACTGGTACGGTCATATCATGGCCTAAGATCTCTTAGCACGATTACCTCAGAGGTCATTTTGCTCCCTTATTAAAAGATTCTTATAACACTTACTACGGAGCATAATAGAGACGAATATACCCAGCATTACTTGACCTGTCCGAGATTTCCAGAATAAATGAGACTCTAGTAACGATGACCCTTAGTTATCTGCAAAGCTGTTGGTTTTCACTTTGGGAGGAATGAAAACTGGGTCGGAAAATGGATGTTAATAACTGGCGTCATTCTGCGGGTGAAAGATCCATACCAGGTGAACAATAGAAGGTGCATCTGACAATTCCCATCCAAAGGTGTAGATAAAATGAGCCAATAGTGTATTGCCCAAGAGAGACTGAAACAAACATCCCATTGTGATGAAAAGCTATGGAATCTGTGTGTGAGCCGTTGAAAACATTTCAAATAAACAAGTGATGGACAGTGATGGTGTACTGTTCTTCTTACCTGAGAGGACATCTTTAGGGTACAGAACAAAAGCGGTCTTTCTTGAAGGTGATACTTGCTCGTGGGCTAATTGATTCACAAACGTCTTTGGTCATACCAGCAACAGCTGACATCCTTTGAGCTTCCTTGCCTGTCATTATGTGTACTCAAAAGGGAAAACCCAGAACAACTTAGCCATCCTTATTTAAACATTTTTGTTGTTCACTGACCATCTACCATAAAATCCACAGTCCAGATGAGCTGAAATTCGACCTGCGCTTCTGCTTTGTCCGTCCGAAAAGGAAATTTGTAACGCATGGAATGCAGCTGAAGCCAATTAGCAGGCAGATGGTGTATTCTTTTTCCTCAAAAATGTGGAGATATACGCCTACTACAGCCATATATAAGTAGTACGGAACAATTCATGGAAATCGGCCGACAGCTGACTTAGGGCTCGCCGAATGGGCGTCGTCCCTGAAGTGGTGGAAAAAACTAGAGTAGAACTTCAACTGAATTTCTTTTCGTTGGAGACTGCCTAGTATGTTCTCCTGCAATGAGCATAATGTTGATGTTTTCCGCATAATTTGAAACGGATGGCGGGTCCAAGATTCCCACGCCTCTACCTCGATTTCGCCTTTTCTGAGACGCACGGATTTTGGATGATACTCCAGTGTGATGCTGGGTAAACCACAGGTATAGTTATTTCAAGCCCACCGAAATGGCTGAAATCGGTTACGCAGCCTTCTTCTATTGTTTTCATCGAATTTACATGAAAGCGAAACCTTTTTCAATACTTATCCGGATTACGGAATATCATTTTCTTACCAGAACTGGTGTTGAAGTCAACGACTCGCGATATTGGCGCATGAAGCAAAATACCATCCGCATGTTGTCTCATATCTGAAGTCGCTGATGAATACTGTTAGCATTTTTTCACCAAACTGAATAGCTTCGCATACAGAGCGCGTGCGGACTCCTAGGCTAGATCTAGATGGACGTGATACACTATCCATAAGATTGCTGAAAACTCTTCGACCGCCCACGGCCGATTTCGCCCTAACTGGGGCCAACCTGGTTGGCGCAGTTCCCGAGTTCCAGTCAGTCTCATGCTACACTTGAACCCAGAATGCCCCAAATCCTCGGGGCGCACTCATTTACATGCCAATTTGGTTTTGACGCGAGGTTCACTTGGAGCCCCGATGAATTTCTCGTTTATGATGTTTTTAACTGGCTCTCAAATTAGTGTACTTCACTGGAACTAGATAGTACGAGGAGTTTTAGTTTGCGGGAAGCAGGCATCTGAAAGATAGTGCGAGCGAAACGTGATTTGTGATTTCAGGGGATAAATATGCGGTTAACCTTATATCCGTTAATAAATAATTTCCTCAGGATGTCCCCAGAAGCTGGAAAAGCATTGAAGAGGGACGAGGACTAATCTGGGTACCTTATTTAAACTTGACACTGCGTTCTCACGTCATTCAATCACTGAGTGTGTGCGTCATCATGAAGTAAAAATTACGACGGTTGGGATTTGGGACTGATGAGCATTTTCTAGGCTAATGACGTTATTGGAATTTTGTTTGCGTTTGAATATCAACTGATTACTAATGAGTAGATCAAAATTAATGCCCTGTTGTCATGCTTCTGGGGTACGTAATGCCAGAGTGTGAAAAAATGGCTTCATTTAAGCTGTTAGAGATGTGCTGTTCAACTTACAAATACTACGTGTAAACAAAAGTCCTAGAAAAATCCCTTCCTCTATCGATATCATCCTCTATATGTATAAATAGCAAAGTAACCATCCACAAACTATATATCTCTTAAATGATGCAGGTGCTTCCATTCTATTGACTAATGTTAAGCTTTCGGTCAGAATTATGCTGGCATGATGCCAGGTATATGACGTATCCGCTCAAAATGATACAGCTGGAACTCCAGGATATGATTGCACGAAATTAGTGAGTGTTTATTGTCCGTTTACAGCGGTTCCACAATCTGAACCAATATCTTCTTTATATACACAAACTCTCCGGTACGCGGCCTACAACATTACAGGGGTTCTAGACCCCACAGGTCAGGTTGCCCCATTAAACAAACGATTGCTGTAAGGTGACACTTTTCTCGACTGATTTGCAGTCCGGTACTATCGTGTGACAAAATGAAAAATACTAGCTCCGCGAACGCTCTTCTGGTGTCTTGTCTCGATTATGCAATGCTCAAAACTAGTCCAAATTAACCATCATATAGTAAGTTCACGATATGACTTGAAATAGCGTGATGCGTGAAACTGATTGGAACGTAGATCAAATAGACTGAGTTATTATTTCACATCTAGTTTTTCTTAAGTACTGGATGAAGAACAGATTGACAAATGTCATATTACAACGATTAATGCAAGTGATAAAATACGACACTGAAATAGTCCTAAGTTGAAGCCTGTTCATGCCAGCGTTTTAGTAGTCACATGCAACGGAAGGCAGAGCAGGTTATAGGTGGAATCAAAAACGCAAATACAGTCCTTATACGGAGGTCGATTTGTGATCATTTCGGCTATGCTTGTGACGTTCTCTAGGGGTGTACTAATCAGAATTGCAAGAAACAAGAAATAGAAGTCAAAATCACGGACTTCATAGGGTCTTCAGTTGATTGGACAAGGAGACATGCCCATACCAAGCAACAACGCTTTCAAAGAACGTTTTCCCGTGGTGGTTGATTCAGTCAGCACTGCCTTGAGCCGCTCTGCATCAAGAGATAATTCCATACCTTAACATTGAGACAGCTGGAAAAGTGTGTGGAAACATGAGGGCCCCTCATTATGATTAACCCTCTGCAGTGTTGAAAACAGCCCAATTTTGCGATACCAAATCAAAATAGGAGGACCTAAGAGTTGACCAAAGGGACAAGAGCTAATCAGCAATTACCATCAAGTCCGAATTCCCCATATTTTTGTTTTCAAAATAAACGTCTTTCCCCGTAAAACACCTGATTTTCTGTTCAAGTGCGGAATGAAACTGATAAAAACGCTGGAACCAACCGAACGCAGGAGCCAAGAAGGGGATAGAAATTGTGGTTGCCTTTTTGAGAGATAGCATGGATGGCCGTTTATCGTGGTATCATGGGATAACTGTTTCATTTTTTTCGGATAATGACCCAAATGAATATACAGAATGTGAAGAAAGGCTGACCCGTCTACATTTTGACCGAAACTGACGTCGGCGCCAGCCCTAGTTCGTAGGCAGTCATTTCTTTGCCCGCGTGAATGATTTAGCTGCTGATACTGGGTGCGGAGACTACACCTGAGTGACGTACTTTATAGAACTAGGTAGTTCATTATATTGGGTAAGAATTTTCTCTTGACATAAGGGTACTGTCATATCAATCATGTGTGCGTTCCAATTTAATGACGCCAAGCATATTCACTGTTGAAATTCAGTATCGGGTACATCGAACTCATCAGTAGAGACTAGCAAATCCAGGAAACTCATCTGAGCACCTCAAACAAACGTGTCACGTGACCCACTGGTTCACATAACTACGAAGCATAGGGGGTTTCCTAAGGGTTCAGTACGTCTGTTGATCATGTATGAGTGTTCAGTGTCTCGTTCAGTTCCCAGTCAAACAATCGACCTGTGAAATCATATCAGCACGTCCTCTTTAGGACCAATTTATCCACCTCTTCGTCTACGGCCCTTCCAATACTCGAGGTCTTTCTGCCCGAGGATTAAGTCCTTGTCTCACACAAGCTGTAACCTGTCTGAAGCATCCACTAAACCTGTTAATTTGTTAATGTCATTGTGCAAGGATTGCCATTCAATCGTATGGTTGTGTGCCAGAGGACATTGTAAAGTGAGGGATGCAACTGTTTGGTCCACGTATTGAAATAATTAAACTCGTCTTTCCAGAGCTCGCTAAATGATCCAGTGTCTTACTTTTCATTTAGTTGACATACCTTGGCATCCGATTTGTGTGGAGGACCGTAATATACATAGTTGCACTTGAACGTACTGCACGGTAATGAGGCATGAATAAATGAAGCAAAGTGTCTTCTTATCGTGGAAATCCAGCAATGTTAGTCACACATTCGCTCAATCTTTATTCATGAGGGATGTCCTTCAGTTATTCTTTGACAGTGATACATCACCGATATCAGGGACTATACAATTAGACCTAAATCTTTCCATTCGTCTTTATGCCTGGCTATAAGAAATGCGTATTTCCAACTGTCAGGCGGGCTGCATTGGGGTTTTACAGCCCATTCAATGTGATTAAAATGGAAACAGGCTAACTGCTACCATATTTGTGGTTCGAGTAAGCCTCTGATCCCCAATCTTCTACTCCGTATACTTTTACATCATCATCATCGACAGCATGACGTCAACACCGATGCGTCACTGCCTTTGACAGACCGGGACGATTACACTGATAGTAAATCTTTCAACGTTCCTGGCCAATGTGAACTGGAATTTCAATATAGTTTGCTCTACTGTAAGGTGGATGCCATTTGTTCACAAAACTGTGGAGCTTACTAGCTCATCCAGTTATTTCGATAATTAAGAATGGCTTACTACGTATAAGATTCGGGCAGACAGTCACATAATCTTTTACTTAGCTCCTTGGATAGGGCAAAGGATAGTCACGTTAAGCAAATATTCGAAGGTTTAGGATGTTACTCATCAGAGTTCTGTGTAAAACAAGAAACATGTCGACATCTTAATCAGTGTGAATACACTACTGTCAATCGTATCATATTAGCGGTTTACTTTTGAATTGGACATTCAAACTGGATCTTTCAAAAACTCACCTCCCGTAGTGATGCCCCACCACACAGTGCCAAGTGGGGCCGTACTTTTGGTCGAATACTTTCTTCAAGTAGGCACATATATCCTTTTCCGTATCATATTGCTGTAATGCCTCGGTTGTCGCCGTGAAAACATCTTTTTGCATCAGTTCTGCCATCTCGGTTTTTCTTATGCAAAATTTCATTTGGTCTATGTAAGAATCGGTTTTTCCAGAGAGAGGGTGAAATGATCAACTGACTCTCGACGAAGTCTGCATCATTTGCTCACGTTTGTCATGTGATTTCATTGATCTGTTGGTCAGCCAACCACCTGCTACATACCGTGTGATGAAATTGAGTTCGTGTGCATCTCTTAGGTTACACAACTCACGGCAGTGAGAAAATATCTGTTTTCATTTGCTCTCATGAGGTGACGGTCTCAGTGAACCATTGGCAGTGTAGCCTACTTCGAGAGCAGAAATCATCTGCATTCGTTTCAGATTGGCTGTCGTTGTCTGTATGTTTGATTTGAAACCCACACTCGCGGTGGTTGCAGTTACAGACCAAAAGGTTGTGTAAATTCCGCACAATTTTGCCGGACTAAGTGACTGCGACAAGAAGTTTTGGACAAATTGTTTGTTGTTGATGATGACGACGATGGAAATATGAGTACGAAAATTTAGAATTTGCCTCTGGTTGCACCAACAGCCATCCTATTTTCATCAAGTAGGATAACACAAAAATGTTTCAGTAAAACGATTTAAAAACTTGAGACGGATCATATTTTGTTATTGCTCAGAGCCAGTGTTAACTGCTGTTGATAGGCGTAGGGTGAGGAGCGAGGGGATTTGTGAGGAAGTCTGGGGATTTTTGATAGAAATTTCGTGCTGTGAGTGAAGCCAACCGGTACTTAAGAACTTAGAAACACTATTTAATCCTATTGGGAATCAGCTGTGCATCTCACGAAAGTCCAGTGCTACTACGGTGCACGTATAAGTCTTAGTTTCGGTGTTTTCCTGAGATTGTAAGACGTTTTTCAGCGTGGTGTCTCTTGGTCCAAACAGGGATCAGAAATTGCAGGCTTGTCTGTTACACGTTTTCAATCTCAATCCAGAATACTGCATCTTCAATAGCCATTTACATCGCAACGATGACAACGCACGAAACATGGCAGCAGGGCCGTGAAGTTCCGCCAAACACCGCTGCCCTTCAGTCAGACTTTTGAGCCAAAGCCTTTTGTTGAGGGCCTGTTTAGGTCTAAGGGCCCTGGAAGTATCCGAGTTCACATACAACCACGACACTTGCGATTGGTAATACTTTAATGCCGTATCGACCGTCGCGTGCTGTTACCAGTTGTGCCGCCTAAGTTGATGGTGCTTCCCTTTCTACGCTTTCACACTTTCCATTTTCACTCTACCCTACTCAGTTTTTATGCTCACTCCGCATGCCCCAGCAGTGGGACTGACCGGTCTTATAGCCGTGCAGCACGTTCAGCTGCAGCTTCTGTAATTCCACTATCAGTAACAACCCTAAACACTTCGAAATCCGTATTCAAACCCCGACGCCTGATCTACTTAGCTGGCTTTAATTCTTCTTACATTGAAGCAAACATACAACAAATGGCCCTTGCTCATACACTTGATTCCCTCCGCACTGGTGCATGCAATCGGTTAGAAACAAGAATACTCGACGCAAGCACTGTGATTGAACTAACTGTCCCCTGCTCTCTCGCTCCCTCTGTCTACGTTTCTGGCTTCTCAATTGTGGTGGCGACGCGGTGGTTGTAGCTGGATATACCGGTTTGGGTAGTAAATTAGGCGATCGGGCAGCATTTTCCCTACTTTATTTTATAGTCGCCTCTCTGCCGTTAGTTGGACAATATCTGGAAAAGAATCTCTGGAGAAAATGAAATCCGTCGTACCCTGTTCATTGTTGGCTTACGCTCTAACGGAATGTAGCTCTGAATCTGCCGATACACGACTTATGACCTATTAGATGCACTTTTACAGCTGGTTAGAAGCTTGGATCTCAGTTTGTTTGCCGGTGACATGAACGCTCGATCTGGTGGAATAAGCGCTGCTCAGGCCTAAATGTTTCGGATAGGGCAGCACGGACAACGGAGAGCACCTGTGTGTCTATCACACACTGGCCGTTTTGCAGTACCAATTTTGGAGCTGTGGGAATCACTTGACACTGTAGTTACCACCACAAAACCAGCCCGAATCTAAACGCATCACATCGCAGTCAGTTACCACTATCGATAGCTAATCACTGACTGCCGCTCATCACAAAAAATCAAAATGGGCTCGCATCATGCATCTGTTCACCACTGTTTTCCATCGCACTTTTCAGGTCTAAGTAAAAATAAGCAAACGTGGCTTGGCCATTGAATGACTGAAAGATTCAGAAGTCCGTCAAATGTAGGAAACCGACTCCTCGAAAGCGTTCTGGATGGTCCAAAGTAGCACATTACCCGACACTGAAAGCGCGCATCAAAGCGTTTCTCAGAGTCAGGATTTCTGCCTGCTGTACTTCCTAGCTAACCCCAACCGAACACTGGATCTCTGATAGGGCCTCCTGGACACAACCACAATCCGATTCAATGCACCTTCCGACGTCAGGTGAAATTGTGTGTCCAAGCAGACCGACAAGCTCGAAGGAACCGTAGGCCCAAAAGAGTGGGATAATAACAAATGATGGAAACGTCCACATCTTGTTCCAATTTTTTCCCGTTATACTGGTCCTCGGAAGCCTCTTGTCTGCGGAACTATCAACAACCAGATTGGCTCTCTGATATCCAGCAACGGGAGAACGTCATCACCGTTGGACACAGCGCTTCGAATAACAATGGAGTCCTGCGTTGGCACGTTGACAGCGGCCCTCAAACAGAATTTCCGTCGGTTAAAAGCTACGTGGACCACATCTTCCTACTTTGCCAGGCGTTATAGCAACGTCACATATATAGACGACTCACAATTTCGGTGTTCATGATTTCGGGAGTGCGTTCGACTGCATTAATCTGTCAGAGCTGTTAACTATGCTCACTCAGTAGAACATACCCCTGAAATTTTTAGGAATAATACGTTCTCTACAACCACCTACTTCTGGATGAGCTTTCTATGAGTTTTCCAACAAAAGGTGATATTTGACAATGATATCCATTCTGATTCGAATTCATCATCAATGAGACAATGAGGTAAACCCTGAAATGCCTTCACAACTTCGGTGTTCATATCATTGTTATGAGAACCTTGTCGATCTGGAGCACACAGACGACATCATCCTCATCTTTATAGTTGAAGGTAAAGTACAAACCCTATTGAACAAACTGACAAATAACTCACTATCTTTTGGCATGTATCTTGCACCTTCGGTGTGCAAAGTCATGCTTCAAAAAGTGTAATCTCTGGACATAACCCCAGAGATTGTTTGGGTGCTGCGGAGAATTTTACATACCTCGGTATTTTTAACAGCTCTGATTAAAGTGTCCCTGATGCATCCCAGTCGCCTGAATCAAGTCTGCTTATTTGCGTCACACGCGGCATCAACATGGCATATAATTTGGTCTCAAGTTCCTCGCTTGTAGCAAGCTTCGTTAAGAGCTATCTTGTTTTATGATGGTGGAAATGGAATTTCCGAACAGAGGATGTGAGGCGTTTTCACATCACATTGGCGCTCTTCGTCAATGCTTCAAAAGCGTTGGTGATGTCGAATGATGCCGGCATAGGTAGGAAACGTGTATTCGTCTGTGTGGCAGGTTCATCAGTCGCGCCCTCAACTGCTGTGGCCCAGTCATGTACCGAAACACGGTCTATCGGTTGGAGAGTTGGTTTTCTTACTTCCTTTAGAATGGCTCAAACCGCGAGATGGATAATATATGACTCAGCAGGAGGGTGTAAAAGGGATTCAGAGGAACTTAGGCCTTGGAGGGGCGATCCTCCTTCCAAGATGTTATCACCGTGGCCCCCCTTGAATTGGCTGGAGACACCAAAAGAAGAGACGAGCTGTCAACTTCGGTGGCTTTTTTGCTGTCAGTTTCTTTTCAGATTGTCATATCGGTCTCCTGCCATAGCTTTTGAGATTGGCGCTTCTCATAATTATGAAAGTAATGTTTCTCCTACTTCAGGGTTTGGAAGGTCATCTCGAAAGCGTAAAATCGCTGTTGACCCAGACCACTGGCACAATCTCGATAATTTCCAAATCTCGCAGTGGTACTGTGATCAACGGATTCGTGGATCGAACCCAACTCTGACGTCCCGACCGTGCTGAATAAGCTCGGCAACTTACAGTATCTTGACTCTGGCGGTTTCTTCGGGTGACACAGAAGGAGTCTTAGAGTTGCAATAAAAATTCACAGCTGGGTAACAGATAGCTTAGGGTGATTTTCTTTTTCGTGCTTTTTGTCCGAGTCTTTCTGCACCCAGGAAGCACTGTAACTAATAACATAACCCAGCTTGCTGATTCACATACTAATTCTTCCTGTTGATGCACTGAGTTGCGCAAACCCAAACACATAGGCACCATCGGTGACGATCTAATCCCAGCGTAATACTAGTATAACGGTGGATACTACTGATGAAGCATGCGAACAGTATGTGAGTTTCTCATAAGTCCGCTTCTCCTCTATCGAAAAGTGAGATTTATTACAAAATTTGCAGACTTGCTTTTAAGCATTCGCTTACGTTTGAGTGTTAGTCAATGAGTAACCAGGAAAGTTCAGGAAGTCCTGTTTGAGAAGACGGATACACACTTTTTAGGAACAATATGCATATGAGAGCTTTGTTTCCCTGTTCAATAGTCTGTAACTGTACAGTTGGTGTTCTCCAGTAAATAACTCCGCAGCGAAGACTATTTTTCACTAGTAGAATTTCATTACTACTTACTGTACACCATCCAGGCAGACTTTGTTGAATATGCCTGTCTGGGTCTGTGTACCGAGCAGTGATATGTTCTTGATCCTCGGATATTTGTCATAGGAGAACTACTGGATTACAGGATAAGTGCTGTGCATAGTACAGATGTTTATTGCTCAGACTATGACCCGTGTTCGGCAACGAAGACTGATGTAACAGCATGACCATATAATGCTCCACGAAACAGTTATAATCTTGGAGTAACGAGCTCTTACCAGTGATGTGATTCAATTGGCTATGTATGCTGCCGAAGAATAAAGTCGCATGTCATAAAGTTTTGAGAACGTAGAAATATCAGGCACCAAGCTAGTTAATCACAA